GTGGTAATAGTAGTAGTAGTAGTAGTAGTAGTAGTAGTAGTAGTAATAATGATAACCAGCATTTATGTAGTACTTTAAGGTTTGCAACAGCACATTACATCTTATCTCATTTGATCCTTACAACCCTATGAGGTAAGTGCTATTATTATCCCCATTTTACAACTGAGGAAACTGAGGCAGAGGTTAAGTGACTTGCCCAGCTAGTAAGTACCTGAAGCAGGATTAGAACTTAGGTCTACCTGATTTCAGGTTTAGCACTCTCTCCAGTGGGCCACTTGACAGCCTAATGAACATTTTCATTTTCAATATGGTGACAAAGAAATAGAATGGTACCAAGATGAGAGATGCACAGCCTAACTCATTTAAAACTTTCTGTTATATTCAAATAAGGTGTCTAGTTCTGCCCTCTGGGGTCAAGCAGAATAAGTCTATGTGACGATTTTTCAAATATTTGAAGACAACTATCATGTCTGCCCTAAACCTCTTCTTCAGGCTCAACATTTCCAATTCCTCCAGCTGATCCTTTTCTGGCCCTTCACTATCCCAGCTAGTAATGTCCTTCCTCAAATATGTCACCCAGAACTGAATCTGATAATCCAAATATGGGTTAACTAGGGCAGAATATGTTACAGAGGCCTATCACCTTCCTAGTTCTGGACATTAGGCCTCTTTTTACACAGCCGGAGACAGGAATTTTCTTGGCTGCTCTAAAATTCCTTTTTCAAACTAGCCACATATTCCCTCATCTGGTCTTTGTGAGGTTGAATTTTGTAACCCAAGCATAAGACTATACATTTATCCATTTTGAATTTCACCTTCTTTGATCCTATCCAATGTTACAGCATGCTAAGCTCCCTTTGAATCTTGACTCTATCACCCAGTGTTAGCTCTGCCTTCCATCAGTTTGTAATCTGTAAATCTGCTCAGCAGGTCATCAACGCACCAAACCCTAATCACACATCCAAGTTTTGCCAATTGTATCCCCAGTACTTAGCACAATGCCATTAGTGCCATAGTGGGCACTTACTACATGCTTGTTGAATTGCATTAAATGAACTGACTTTTAAAAGGTTCAAGAAAAAAGGAAAAGTCTCTTTAAAAAACATTTTGGAATGACTAATTAAAGTGTAATCTTTAGCATTCTCTGTAAAATAGCTTCTATACAAACTGAAAGCTTCAAAGGAACACAGAGTGGCCTAGCTGCAGGACTGCAGACCACAGGGATGACACAGTGTGATCTTTCTGCCAACTTTTTCTGTTTCTGATGCCAAAAAAGAAAGATCAAGAGAAAAGAACCTAAACGGAGACAAAAGGTGGTTTGGGGGCCTTCCCTAAGATTAGCAAGAGAGTTCTATTTCAGGAGGGAGACTAGCTAATTACTGAGGGAAAAGCAGTAGTGTGAGCATGCCATCTCTGACTTGCAATAAAGTCAAGCAGCAGGAGCAAAGGCCAAGGGTGCCAGGAGTCTGGAGGGGCTCTGGGCGGAAAGAAAAGCTTTAGTTAAGAGCTCACTAATCAAAGTGAGTTAGTGACAAAAGTAGTCACAGGTAAGTTTCTTTAAAGCTTGATCTACGTTATACGTTTTTTCCTCAGGGTAAAACTTCCTGTGGGCTTGTGGAACCCAACATAGAGCACCACAGGTTATCTGCTGCCAGCTGCCAGAACTGCAGCTAGATAGATAGTTCCTATAGCAAGTGGACAGCCAGAAAATGGGAAAATTCACTAACTTTTTGTCCTCAAAAAAAAAAAAACATAAAAAGGGGAGCTGAGAAGCAGTTCACTATAGTCATTACCCTAACCTCATCACTTCTTACCTGTACTACTATTACTACAATAACCTTCTCGCCAGTTTCTTTACTTCCAGTCTCTCCTCTAGCCAATCAGCTGCAAGATTATGCATAGGTCTGACCACATTACACCCCTGCTTATCAATCTTCAGTGGCTCCCTATTGCCTCTAAGATAAGATACAAATTCCTTAGCCGGGTATTTAAGACCCTACCAAACCAGGCAACCTAACCTAACATGTCTTATTTCACATTATTCCTCTTCATAATACTACATTCTGGGGAAAGCAGAATGCTGGCTGACCCTGAAACTAACATTGCATCTTTCACCCCCAATGCCTCTGCACAGGCTGGGATCCGTGCCTGGAATGCACTCCCATACTCATTTCTCCCTAGCTGTGCATCTCATCCTCATCTTCCTCAATTTTCCTAGAGTACTCCATCTACATTTCTCCTTTCTCAGTCTCTTCATTTGCTCTCCTCCCACCATTGCAACAGCTTCCTCCTGAGACTAGCTTCTATTGGAGGTATCTCGTTATTTGCAGGTTATCTTTCCCATTAGAAAGTAAGCTTGAGGACAGGAGCAGTGTTTCTGCCTTTCTTTTTATCCCCAGAGGTTGGCACAGTGCCAGGGACATAGTAAGCACTTAATAAATGCTTAGTAACTAAATCTTTTTTTTTTCCATCATTCCAACTTTGTACTACATTATTCCAAGTAATGTCATACACTTCTACCGTTCCCTCCTCCAATGTAAGCTCCTGGAGGACAGGGATCGTGCTATTATTATCTTGGCATCCTCAAGGACCTGGTATAGGTGATTTACACAGAGTGGATACCTAATGCGTGCTAAAGTGAATTTTTATTTTCAAAAGATTTATTTTTTTTAAAATAGAAAAGTGGGGTAAAGTGACTTGCCCAGGGTCACACAGCTAGTAAGTGTCAAGTGTTTGGTCTGAGGCCAAATTTGAACTCAGCACCTCCTGACTTTAGGGCTGGTGCTCTATCCACTGTACCACCTAGCTGCCCCCCCCCTTGTTTTCAAAAGATTTAATGCAGAAATATTGTCAAAGGATTTTCAAGCTACAGTTTTCTATATAAAAGCTACTATAATAGGAATAAATCCTATGACTTTATGGCCAAAGCAATGGTTCTACTTCGTCACCACAAAAGAAAAGCAACTAGCAGGAATGGATTCAAGATGGCAAAGTAAGAAGAAGCATTTTCGCCTGGCTCCTCAAGCACACCTCTTTCACAACAAACCAGAAAATGCACTAGACTGAATTTTGATCAGGAAAGCAAGAAAAAAGTCGAAGTGAGTCATTTTTCCACCCTGGGGAAGCTTAGGGAGACAGACAAACAGGTCTGCAGACGCTGGGGAAAGAGATGGCCAGCAGTGCAGACAAGGAAGCATTCCAGCCCCCCAGGGAAAGAAAGAGGGCTGACATAGAACACCATGACAGGAACCACCAGAGCAGGAGAAAATCCCAAGAGATCCCTGAACTAGTGCTAGGCACAAGAACAGGTACCATCTGGCAGCTCTGTAGCCCACTGAACAGAGAGGAGGAGTTGTGAGGGAGCATGGGTCCATCCTAGGCATGGCCTCAGCAAGAAACGAGTTCCAGAGCCCAGAAACAGAACAGCAGTGACTCAGTTCCAGCCTTCAGCACAGTGTCTAAGCCTATATAACCAGGGCAGGAGTCCCAGACCAAAGAAGAGGCAGCAGTTTAGTAGCTATGAACCTGCAGAGCCTTCAAGCAGGGTAACAATGACTGACTCTGGTATCATTCCACTGAAATTCTCAGCTACACTTAAGCCAAGAGACCCAAACTTGGATCAGGAACCTGCCGAGATCAGACCAGGAGGGCAGGGAACAGACCTCTCCCCACAGATCACACCAATGTGGGAGCAATGGAAACTTGCCATTTCCCAGACTGAGTTGGGAAAGCAGCAGAAAGATGTAAAAGAACAGAAGTTTGGGTTAGACAGCGCCCCTCCTCCCCCAGAAGTGCAAAGAGCCCAGTGCTGACATAAAGTCCAAAATCAAAAAGTAGGTTGGGAGAATAAGCAACCAAAAAAAGAAACCCACCATAAAGAGCTGCTATGGTGCCAAAGAAGCTGAAAACACAAACCCAGAAAAAGAGAATGGCAAAGGCCTAAGTCAAGAGTAGATCATACCTTTCTGTATCCTGACAACTAAACGTAATGGCTTGAATTCACAGAGTTTCTACCACACAAGGTAAGTTAACATGGTAATAAAAAGGTCTGAACTCAGGACATTGTTGTGTATTACTGTTTAGCTTGTTAATGTGGTGAGGCCCTTTATTTTCAACAAGATAGTAAACACCTCAAAAACAGGAGACACATTTTCCCATGTAGGTCCACAAACAAAGCTGGAAGAGAACTTAAAGGTTTAGTCTAGCCCCTTCATTTTAGAGAGGGAAATTGAGGACCAGGGAGGTTGAATGAGTTGCCCAAGTTCATACAGGTAGGAAATGACACAATCAGAATCTTAGCTCAGGTGCTCTTGATTCCAAATCCAGCTTTTTCCATTGTATCGCACTTCTCTTTTGTGTCCTTCACAAATGCTTGGTACATCCAGAGGAGAGCATATGGTAAGTGCTTAATAAATATGAGATTATTTTGATGATGCAATTGTCTGCTAGTAAAGCAATGGAAAAGCCACAAAAGAGCTGACAAATGCTTAAAGTGGGCCATGGGGGTAACTCTGAGCAACAAAAGGAGAGAAACAGGGAAAGGTGTGCTTAATTTAATTCTCATCAAGAGTAAGAAGTCAAAAGAGGATTTAGGGGTGGAAGGAACACCAGTAAAAGGAAATCAGGAACTGTGAGAAGCTGAGATTCTAAGGAAAAAAAAATCAGCAATTAAGCAACTTAATTTTACAAAAACGAAACTAAGGAGATTATAGGAAATCATGTTATTCTTTCATTGTAGAACTTAAATAGGACTCGGAGGTATAGATACTGCTATATGTGAATATATATGTATGGCCAGACCACAATATTTAAAAACAAAGAATGACATGGCTCGTCTTCTCTGGGGACCAATGGAAATACAATGGAAGAAAACATGAGTCAATCCCTATAAGAGATTGATATTAGCCAGGTGATCTGCTTGGAAATCAGGCCCTATCCCCCTCACCATCCCCTTTATTCTCCAAAGAAATACAGAAGATAAACAATTATACTGTGCTTACATGTTCCTTTCATGCATGTCATGGTGGAAGAGCAAAACTCAACGACCCGGACAGCAACAGATCCTGGCTCCTCTGGCGGCACTGTCAAAATGGAAGTCTCCAAAGCAGACAGAGAGTAAGAGAAGTGGTTAGATTTCAATTTCATTCCTACTGGTATCTGCCCAACAGAGGATCTTCAACACTCTTTAACATTTAACACTCTGCCATATAAGATTTTAATTTGGAAACCAAATTTAAAACACAGAGATGAGTGCAAGAATGCTCCTTTCTATGCAATTAGGGATTTTATCAGTACAGGAATTTACAGAGGAGGAACCTCCTGCACTAAGGCGTTAAATGATTTGCCTAGGGTCACACAGCCAGTATCTACCAAAGGTAGAGCTCGAACCCAGGTCTTCCTGGCTCCAAGAGAAGGTCTTTCTCCATTACACCATGTTGTCTGCAATTAACTGAGTAAATTTCAAGGCATTCAGAACTCTCCACAATATACTACCATCATGTCTTTGTAGGCTGAGGTCATATATCTCTCTCTCATGCGTTCTATACTTCAGCCAAACTTGGCTACTTTCTGTGCCCTAACGCACACTGCACTCTCTTATCTCTGAGGCTTGCTCATGTGGCTCCCCTATGCCTGCCCTCCCTATATTTTACCTACTGAATTTCTTCGCTATCTGTTAATGTTCAACTCAAATGCCACCCACCTCCTCCATAAATCTGTTCCTCATCTTGCTGGTTGCCTTCCCCAGCGGATCTCACATAACACTATTTTGCACTACAAATGCATTTATTAAGTAATATTGTGAATTATATTTGCTTGTATGTATGTCTTATCCCCCTGATAGGTTGTAAATTTCATAAGGGAAGAGGGTGTTTCAATGCAATTTTATCTCCTCAGTGATGAGCACTTTGCTCTGCACAGAGTAGCTGCTTAATGTTTGTTAAAAGAATATTTCAAATATCTTGATAACATATCTACTTGTATGACTATGAGTAAGGAAAAGCATTTTAGACATATATGATCAAAAAAAAGAAAGAAAGAAAACCCCAAATGAGGTCATGAGCCCCCCCCCCCCCAAAAAAGACACATATGATCATATGTAAAGTCTTTAAATAATACTTTCTATTTAGGATAAAAAGGTACTATTAGTATGTCACTGATTCCAGAATGCACACAGACTTGCTTTTAAAGTCATGTCTTTAAAAAAAATCCATTTTGAATACAAACACAGAAAAGCTGCCAACCTTAAATCTATTTACATATTCGATGGCAGTAACTTTAAATGACTAAATATACGCTCAAGCATTTAAAGACAAATGTCTTGAAAATTAACCGAAGGAATATGTTAGTGAAGTAGACTCAGATAAGGCCCTGGAAGTTAGAAATTTAGAGTTCAAATGATCAAAGAGTATTCACTGTTACACATCACACTATGCTAGGTACTACTAAGATCTTATCTTCCTTTAATTTGCCAATAAGCATGGAATGGCCGTCACATCATGGTTTCCCTGTAGATTAGAGCATCCTAAGAAAATGGTTATCAATCCCTAAAAATAATAGTTATTTTCAGCAGCCTATATCCCTACTGGGATACAGCAAAGCCCTCATCTGTAGCCTGAATCCATAATGTTGTGTTTATATTTCAAGCATCACTGCAAGAATAAATATGGAAATTATTTATTTTGGGAATTTGATTACATTAGGTTGACTGCTTGCATAATGGTGGGCTCAAAAGCTATATTTCTCACATTCCTTCTCATTTCCTTCACTGTCATTCACAACAGAAAAGGTTGCTTCAACATTAAAACAAGGATATACACTTGGTTTTTAAGGGGACTGGGGTGGGTCTGGACCTGGGATTAACCTGGGATAAGCATCTCCTGGTGAGCACACCATTGCAGAATGGCAACTGGTCTGTAATTGATAGTTTTGGATAGTATAACACTTATAATACTGTAATATTTATATACTGTAAAATAATTATAGAATGATGAATTATTAAAACGCCATTCTCCTCTGAAAGATATCTTAACAGATGTGCCAACCTAGTCATCTTAGGCCATCAGCCTTGTAGTTGCATTTCCACACAAATATCCCTTAATTTCATAAAGACTGATCTACCATGAACTAAACAGAAATGATAAGGAAGAAGAATTAATTCATTTTTTTATAACAGGTCACTCCAAACTTAACGAGTTGTCAGAGGCAAATCATATTTGACAGCAGTGCCTTTTGAAAAACTAGGATACTACAGCATAGATCTATAAGTCACCATAAATACCAAGAAGAGTAGGAGGGAAACAAATTCCTGGAATAACAGCGTAGTCAGGCAATCAACTGGTATGGGAAAAACATCTGTGAAAATGGGATGGTGAAAGAAGCAAAAGTTGGAGAGAGATCTCAAAAGGAGGAAAGGGTGGAAAAACTCTCAGAATGGGTATGATATCATTTAGTAACACCATGAGGCTGTAAATCTCAGTTTTCAATTGAATTTGTTGGGATATTTTCCCCCAAGTCAATGGAGCCCTCATGACATGGTAGGATGGAAAAATTGTTTTGCTTGACTACGTAATTTGTTCCAAGAGTTAAGTTTTTATTTTTATTTTTCAGGAGGTGGGAATGAGAGAAAATAAATGCTCAATTTTGAATTTTTTAATTTAAATTTAAAAATTTTTTACAATTATTATTATTTTTTAAAAAGGCTTGGATTGAGAGTCAGGAGAGAACTAGATTAGAACTCTTCTGGACCAAGGGCAAGTCACCTTACCTTCTTCTGAACCACGGTTTCCTCGTCTATTGTGTGGATAATACATGCAGTACTTACCTCATGGACTTGCAAGGATCACATTAGAAAACATACAGGTGCGAGTTAAGACTATGAAATTTGGAAGAAAGATAAAATTCACTTTGAAATATAACTCTCTGGGAATGCTATTATTCTATAAGGAAGACATTATTCTATATATCTATCTTCCATGCTCTCAAGCATCCAAAACCCTTATATCAATTACTGCCTTGAGTTCGAATGTAAACATCAGAAAAAAATTAGTACAAGTACACAAGGCTTAATAAACTGTTTCACTAACAGTGTCCTACACAATTGCAGTAAATTAGCAACTAGTTAGAAAAGAGCACACAACTGAAGTTACCTGCTGATCAGAATCTGCCTTCAGTACAGATCGATCTGTAATCAGCACTGCCCTTGAGATCTGCCTGTAATTGGACAAACGAAGAAGTTTGAGATTGACATTCAATAGCTGATATATTTATAGACTCAAAAGAGAGAAACAAAGACTTCTCTTGTTATTCAGGGCATGTGGTTTGCAAAGCAAAGGCTCAAGTTGAAGAACTCCTGCAGAAGGCCGGCTCTGCTTAGATTATGCATTGGCTCATAAACAATACATGAAATGACACTAATTCGAGAAAGGAATTGACTTAAGAATAGCCAGAGTTTGGCACCCGGCTTGCACTTTTCTGCGTGTGTTCACACATTGATGCCAACAACAGGTTACCCTAGACGACATTAAAAGGTGGCTATAAACAAAGAACTGAGCTTTCACCCACCTGAGCTTGTGGAATAAGGAAGCCCTTACCTGTAGGCCACATTTGAACATGTTTTCTCGGTAAGGTAACTGTCTTCAACGATAAAATACTTAGCACTTATCCTCTGACCAAAGTGATCTATGATTGCCTTACATCTATGTATAAAGAAAAGGAGAACAAAGATATGGAATTTAAAACAAATCTATTTAGATATTGATTCTATGTTACAAATCATTTTGCAAGATTACTCACCCCCATCCCCATATAGATATATAGAATAATGTCTTCCAAATGACATGAATCTGTTTTTAAAAGGTTAAAAAAAAATCACTAAAATCATTTCATTCACGTGCAGACAAGCTATTCTGATTTATAATAAACTGTACTGGGGTAAGGGAATAAGCATTTATCTAGTGCCTCCTATGTGGCAGACAATGTGCTAAGCACTTTTTACAAATATTATCTCTCTTGATCCTCACAACCCTGTGAGGGAGGTGCTATTATGATCCTTGTTTCACAGATGAGCAAAATGAGGCAGAGGTGAAGTGACTTGCCCAGGGACACCGTGACACAAAGTGTCAAAGGCCTTATTTGAATTCAGGTCTTTCGGACTCCAGACCCAGTGCTCTCCTCATTGTAGCACCCACCAGTGGCCACTGCATTGCTATATTTTGTTTTCATATCACCTGTAAAATACTCCCTTGGTAGTATAATTGGCGTAAGACTAAAACCATAAATTCATTTAACTGGTATTATCATTGATATTATATCGGCATGACCCAATTATATGTACTGAGTTTAACATTTCCACTCCTCCTGGAATTTTTTTATTCTTGATTCCAGACCATAGCACCTGAATAAATGTCCCTAAACCCTAATGAAATATTTTATTTATCTATCTAAATATCTCCTGGTCCTTTCAGCTCACTGCACTCTGCACCTGCTGCTCTGCCTGGTTTCAACTCCATACAACAAGATGTCCCTACAATGAGTAATCCCTGGTGTTTCCCCCCAACACTTTCCAGCCTCCTTTTATGTGTTGTCTCTCCCTCCGACCTTGCATCAGACTAAGTTCCTTGAGGACAGGGACTTTCTTTCTTTTTATTGATTTTATCCTTAACACTTAGTACAATACCTGGAACCTAATAGGTGCTTAATAAATGTTGATTGGATTGAATAAGAATCAGGGAGTTGCAAATAGCTAAATTCAAAATCTGCCTCTGCTATTTGCTGGAGGTATGAATCATGCAGATTACTTAACTTTTTATCTAAGTCAAAGTGATAGGTAGAATAACTTGCTGTAGTGAAAGCTCCTCACACGAAGAAATTATAGGTACAACCTGTATTTTGAATGCGTATAAACACACACATGCACACAAACATGCATGTCATTTTTCCAGAGGAAATGATTCACATGGGCTCTGAAAATTTCTCTTTAACATTTGTTCAAGCATCAATAAAAAGAAATTATCTGTCGACAATGAAACAGAAAATTACATGTAATTTCTATTTTCCGATATGGGACCCAAACTAAATTGTACAATGCTGTCCCATTTTGCTTTGTATAAAGTCTTCTTAGAAAATAAGAGCCGAACCCTACTCAAACAATTTTGAATACTCAAATAAGCAGCAAAATTGGGGCACTTGATACATAATTATAACCTTTTCTATCGTTTAGCAAATAGGCTTTGGGGGAAAAAGTTGATTAAATGTCACATTATAACAAGCAAAGGCAGTAAAAGTCACTAAGGGCTTTTTATTTTTCTGTTAAGTGTTGCTTTCACTTTTGTCCAAGAAGAGCTATCTGGTCATATACTTGATCATGTTTGCATCGAGGGAAAAAAGAAGAGCGCTTCTTTTAATATCTGTCTCCACTTTACTTCAAAGGATGAACATAAGATTTCTTTCAAGTGCTCTTTCCAAATAAGGAAAACACTTCTGCACTGACATTATCAGGTCTCTGTCATCTGCAATGTGTTGGGACAATGAATCATATAGAACCCTCCATTGACCTTCTTTCAATGTGTCTAGATAAAAGGATGAAAATTAGAATCCATCCCGTTGCAGTGCCACAAGTTATAAATGTACTTTATAGGGCTCATTATCCAAACTAATGGACTAAGGGTGACATCCTTGAAATGGACTTACCAGCACTGACAAAGCCAGTATGCAATATTTCAGGAACCATATGTAAATGACTGTGTGTTTGCTATAGCTTTTTATTATGGAAATATAAATTTACATTTGTCACAGCTCCACAGTTTGGGGCCAGAATTATTTGATTGGAAATGCACTTTTACTTTGCTCCACATAAAATGTGAGCAATTATTTTTAATGTAACCATATTTGAAATATACTAGTATAAATTAAACTATCTTAAATCTTTTGAAAATAAGCCAAATAAGCAATATCTACTGGGCGTAAGGGCATTAAAAGCGAGAACACTAACAGAGAAGACTGATAGAGAAAGGAATTCAATTTGTATTTGCCTAAAGAAATAGCATACTGGGGTGGTATACACAAGTCAGGGCCATGATGGCAAGCAATAAAATAATTTTCAACCCATTAACCATCTTTTCATGCTTAAGTTTACAATACATTACCTGTTTTAGTAAACTTTTAAAATGTTTTGCTCTTTCTTCTCTTTTCTGTTCATGTTTCACTGACTGAAGCTCTTGTCTTGTAAAAATACTTACTCAGCCAAACAGGCACAGGTCTTTGGATTTTTGGGGTTTTTTTTTGTTTGTTTGTTTTTGTTGTTTTATGGGGAGAGGGGCAGGAGGGGAAATCCTACAAATATCTCCTATGGAATATAAACTAACCAATAAATCTTCCACTAGAAAGGATTCTTATACAATTTAGGAAACCAAAGGCTTTTATTTTTTCTTCCATGAAAAAGAAAGAAGACAGTGTTGATACAACACCTATCAAGTTCATAACATCTGTACAAACCCTGAGCTAACAAATGAGAAGATCTGCCAGATGCTGGAAGGCTCTATCATCAGGGGCTGTTGACTTTATTCAGCCACCACTTCACACATTTTGTATGTTCTTTTACTTTTTGATATGGTGTTGGATGAAAGGTTTGTGGCTTTTGTTTTCTTCTCAATTGTTTCTTTTTTTCTCTTTCTGAATTGCCCTCTTTGATCAATGTCTTTCCCTTTCCTTTAGCTCAGATGACTGCAGAAAAAGGTAGCTTATAAAACAGGCAGAAACAAGTGTTGTGAGTTTAAAGTGGGGGCGCCAGTGTAAGACTTTGTAAAGTGTTCCCCCTCTTCCATTTAGTTCTCCCTTCTACAAGTGCCTTGCTCTTAAACCTTGGAAATCAATCTTTTTTTGTGGACTCCCAAAGTGACGTTAGAGCTTCTTTGGTAGTAGCTAGGCCTCTGGTGACCAGAAGGCATTGATTTTAGAAGCTATGGCATCAAAACTACTGAGGGTCATTCACAATGAAATGACTAGAAAGTCAAAAATAAGCCTATGCCACCAGAAAACTATCTTATAGGGTGTGACTATTCACAGTGGAATTTCAGGATGAGGCTCTGTATGACATTCATTTAGGTCAGGGCCTCTTAAACTTTTTGCACTCAGGACCCCTTTCTGCATTTTGGCATCTGTTGGTTGGTGCTGCATGCTGTGTGTTCACAACCAAGGCTGCAGTGAAGTTGTGAGATGCAACATGGGCAAGCACTGCCAGAAACACCTCGGATTCATTACGCATTTGATTTCTAATTAACTTTTGGTCGTTGTGCATTCAGAAACCTTTTGCTGTTGCTAAATTTTTCATGACCCCATAGGGTCATGACCCACAGTTTAAGAAACATTGAAGGTGATCAAGAAGGTGCTCAGTTCCAACCTGGGCAGTCTTAGCTCCAAGTCACACAATTAAACACAAAGGTTCAAGGACCTAGACATGTTTTAAACCTGTGACATGAACTGATGTTTCACCAGATACCTGGCCAACTTCAACATATCTAGCCTAATAAGAATAAAGAAAATATTGAATTGGAAATCCATTAACAAACATTAATTAAGCACCTACTATGTGTCAGGGACTGAGATAGGCAGTAAGAATATTAAAAAACAAACAAACAAAGAATCCTGGTCCTCAAAAAGCATGGTATCAGAGGAATCCTATTAACAATTAAAATTGACATTCAAGTAATAAAAATCCAGGAAAATGAAACCAGAATATTGAGGGAATAACAATTTGTAAAATTCAGAAGGGGATGAAATCATTCATGTATTTAACATATAGGATTTAACTGAGGTCCTTGACAGGCTCCAAAAATAGCACAAAGAAGGGAATTTTAAAAATACGTAGCTATCGATGCTCAGTGATCAAGCTGATGCCTCACAATGATGCTTGCACAGATACATTTCTATATATTTCCTCTAAATAAATTAATCTTTGCGATAATACAGTTTCCTGATACAATTATTTAAAAAGCTAAAAGTGTGTTCAAAATTATGGTTAGGAAAAAAACTGACTTCCCATCAGGATGAAAATGCTTCAACTAGAATTTGGTCCCAAAAAGAAAGCACACAGCAACATGAGCAAAAACTGAACAGACCTTGGAAAATGATTTTTATATGGAAAGAGTAGCAGACAGTAGTCTTGAAACAATTCAAATAAAATGCTATTAAGCAAAGCAAGGAACTGGGAGCATCCATCCTCATTGAATGAGGCTCTCTCTAAGTTAGAAACAGCTTTCCTATTTCCAACCTTGCATATCTGATCCTCAGTCTTTCATGCTCTTCCTCCATTCTAGTCTGAACTATACACTGATGGTCAAGTAGGGTGGTACACATTGGTGCCTATGTCCTAACCTGCTCTCCATGAAGGAAGGACACACACATTAGTTAGCTTGTTCTGTCCTCCCAATATCTAGCACTGTGCTTTATACACAAGAAGCCTCTTTTTATTAAATGGTCCTGCAAAGAGCAAATGAAGTTCTTCAAGAAGTTAAAAATTAGAAAAATAACAGAAGAAAGGAAAACAGGCAGTGAACAAGCTAGAGCAGAACCTAGAAAGCCTGAGTAAACAAATGTATTAGCAGAAAGTAGAAGGGGGAGGGAGGGAGAGAGACAGAGACAGACAGAGAGAAAGAGAAAAACTGAGAGACATAACTTGGAGAGAGACTGTAGGGAACAG